CAACCTGGAGGACCAGAAAACTGGAGCTTGTCTGACCTCAAACCTTTTAGGACAGATAAGATCTTTGGGTTCGATTGGAGCCATTCTATGTAGTTCGCTGGATGACAAAGATGTACAAGCCATCACACCGTATCGAGATGTGGTCTCTTCATGGTAATAAGTCTCAACCGAAATCCAGTGAAATCTTTCGGTGTCGTGCTTAATTTCTGGTTGCAATCGGGTCACAATCAGAGCTGTCTAAGTTGGTTCGCGTTCTTTACCCCGAATGGGCACGTACACTTTAAGGAGCCTTAGTGACCACTTCCGATTGTGACAACTTGTGTGAATTGAAGTGCACGTGTGTCCACTGCTATGATGTGGCCTCAATTCGCTCGCCCGGTCACCACCTGTGATCCTCTGCCAACACCTCAGCAGCATCGAATTCAGTGCTTATCCGTCGTCTATGCGGGCCCACACATGTCCGATCGGTCAGATAGTACAACCGCAACAAGGGACCTGATGAACAGTAAATAATCCATAGCTTAAAGCTTGTGTTTTCGAGAAACCGATTAAACTGACTTGACAAAGGCCCTCCAAGACGGTCGAAACGTTGTCACCGAAATCGTGTGTTTTGGTATTCACGTTGTGGCTAAAACAAACCTGATTCTAAGGCACCTGATGCTTGCCCAGCTAACCCGAGCGAGAAACCACACCCTGTTTACAACCGCCAGCCCTAGACAGGCCCAGTGAGCTTCGACTTTACAGTAGGCGTGCCTTCACCACCCGAATGGACTAAACATGACAGCAAGAGCATCATAAAATGTACAAGACAAAGTGAGTCGACGGGATAGTCGCACTATCGTACTATCCACATAGCAACATGACATCTTAAATTGATACTCGTACGTCTTAAATTCGTATTATGAAATCTTACATTGAAAAAGGTATGGAATTGATAAGCGTGAAAAATGCCAGGCTATTCGATCACATTGACTACTTTTGCTAATTGAGTAGTTCGTCACCAGTTACGATCACTCTGGATGGTGCCGTCAAACTCTTCAATAACGTAATCATCTAGTCGTTTCTCGCACGCATGGGAAACGGAATTCTCACGCCTGATGTTTCGATGTCTTGTGTGTAAACCGGATCCCTGGAAAGACTCTCCTCTACAAAGTGAAAAGCATCAAACGTTTTATCCATAATTGCCTTCAAAATTAGCTACACAGCATTTCTCTTTGTTCCTCGCAACGGTCAACACACCTCCGTATTTCAAGCCCACTCGCTATTTCATGGACTTTAATTTATTAAAGGCACCTTAAATTGTGCTTTGTAACGTGTTCTGTTTGAACGGAGTTCCTCGATGGTGTTAAATACATTCTTCGTATCTTGGATTCAGTAACTTGCTGCAATTAGTCACTTAGGATACAATGATACCGGAAAAGGGTCTAAAAGTGGATTGAAGAAGTGTGGTGAACAAACTGCGCGGGATTATTCAAACAGACGCGTATTACGCAGGATATCGTGTCGTCGCAATTGCGGTCCACGACAGACCGCGTAACTAATCAGTGGACGTCTATCTGATCTGTTATCACACACATTCACATTGCGGAGTTAGTGTCTATTTATTGTACATTATCACTGGGTTATCGGCCACTACTACCTGATGAGTGAACTAGCCCATAGTGCCGTAATTCTCAATCATTTTGTTGATTCGTCAAATTGTCATTTAGCTGAGCTATTTAAACGTTTTTTGTTTGACTTGCTACCCGGCAACTCCGATTGCTTCTGCAGCTTGTTTTGCCAAGGTACAAAACATCAGAGTGGTCAAGACCACAATTTGCAACGTATCGTGGTCTTTTAGTGACGTAAATTGTCAGATTTCAACTGGAAACCAGTCGAAAAGTTCATTCATAATCGGCAAAAGCTGTTAACTCGGTAAGCATCCGGACTCAGATGACTGATCAGGCAGTTCGTATGTATGCATTTTAATTTATCCGATAATTCGGTTCGGGAATTATTAAAGAAATGTTAATATATATATTTAAATCATATTGCTAAATTATATATTATCTTAAATGTTCTTTAATTTATTTACACGTTTTGCTATATACTGATAAAAGTGACTCGTCTCTTTTTATCTAGTTTCGAAATTTCCTCTCTGATCTCCGACCGTTGCGACCTCCAAGTCATACATCCTGGAGACAGTCTCTATTTCGGGGTACATATTTCTCACCTTTATATGTCAGACCGCAGTCACGCCGACTGGTTGTCCCGGTCACATTAGCCCATGAACCTTATGCAGCCCTTCCGTCATGGCTCCCGTTTATTCCACCCCCTCCGGAGTTGGGGCCTACGAATGCTAAACGATGGACTGATGTATGCAGTACGAAGTCAGCATTTACTGTTGTAGACGTACGTAGTCCGACCGAGTTCGCACTCGATCACATCCCTGGGGCGATCAACATGCCAGTTTTGAGTGATGAACAACGGGCTGAAGTTGGCCGGTTGCATGCTTATGGTAAGATGTTAATCTGCAAGAGAGATCACCTTTTGTTTCCATAATTGTCCCGAATCTCTTTGGTCTCGTTTTATTTCTTTTTGAGCTTGGATATCCCATATGCCTCATTAATGACAGAACTCATTAATGATCACATCAACTCTTGTTTTAAATTTGCTAATAAGTTTCCAGATGACCCTCTTTATGCAATGCATCCCCATCTATCTTCTTGTTATTCCCGTCCGTCCACAAGCTCCGCCTTTCGGCAGCTACCCTCCGGCATTAAAATTTATAAGGACTCCCCTGTAACCTACCTGGCCCGACTCCTAACCACAGAGAACCAGGTCGTAAGTGAATTACTTCAGACGTTTTGTACCTGAAACAAACTTCAGTAACATTCTTCACTTTGAATGTAATATGAAATTATATATTTTACTCGGTGTGGCTAACAGTGCACATTTTCGCGTGAAATATAAGTATATAGGCTTGCACCAGTTATACACCTACCTAGCGATCTAAAAGTGCGATCACAGTGCCGGCATTCACCAACACATTGGAGTGGTCGAAGTGTTACACGTCTCATGTCATTCCTTCTATAATCGAGTAATGT